CTTTATACCAGTTAGGTTATAATTAGTGGACTGGCAAATGACATGAAATGTATAAGAATTCCTTTCTATAAAATGGTGCCTATTCCAACATAAATGTTTTTCTAGCATCAAAGTTGAAGTAACAAATGCCATTTTTATCTCTGCAGACAGAATGGTGTCAACCTGACTTAAGTGAATCTGAAAATGCAAAATTGCACATTTTCATAGTCTGTCTGCCTTTCTTTGGTTGGTAAATTGCTTGTTTCTTTGTTTGCACTAGAAGCAGTTGAAAAGCAGGGAACAGAAATGGAGCGGGGATAGAAAACAGAATTGCTAAACTGAATCAGTACATACATCTGCCTAAATGTGTGGCCAGATGTGGGAGAATAACAACCCTAACTCCATCATATCCAGTGTTGAAAAATCATCTAGCTCCATCAGGAGTTTATAGGATGGTTGGTGTGAAATAAAAAAAATCTTCTAAAAGTTTCTAGGTCTGCCTGCCACACCTTCTTGTTTTGCTTGGGAAACTGTTGTTCCATGTGCCAGGAGCTCAGAATCCGCTACTACAAGTTACTAATTTTTGCCCACAGGGGTCTACATCTGGTTACCATGTGGGCATTCTTTCCCTTCCAGGAGCCAAGATAAGAACTACATCCATGTAATTTTCATTGCTAAGAGACCACTTTGCCCTACACTCACAATCCCTTGAAAGCACACAACAGGACTGAAGGACCAGTTACGACTAACCACAACATATTTGTAGCACTATGGTCCCAATTTAAAGTGCCATAGTTCCATCCTATGGAGTCCTGGGATTGGTAGTTTAGGGAGAGGCTTTTAGATTTCTTGGCCAATGAGCTGGTGCCTCTAACCAAATGACAAAGCTCAGAAAACCATGGCACACAGCCAAGTGGCATCATATTGTTGAATACTTTCAACTCACTTCAACTTATGGCAACTCCAAGGAGAACCTATTATAGAGGTTTGGGGTTGAGAGATTGTGATTTGCCCAAGGTCATCCAATGGGTTTCCATGGCTGAGAAAGGAATCGAATCTTGGTCTCCTGGAGTCATAGTCCAACACTCAAACCACTGTGCAACACTACCTTTAACAATATCATGGGGAAACAACTATGGGAGCTAAAGTGGCATCATAGTGCTATCATACACATGTACACTGCAAAGATCTTGGTCTGGACCACAGATTATTCCATTTTATCTTTCCACGGGTGATTCTGTTGTTAGGCAGCCACCAAAGGCACCAGAGGCTAAGGATCTGGTTGCAGAGAAGTGGAAAAAGAGACAGAGGTATGGCTGTTCCACTCATCATCTGTCCTGCAGCCCAGTGTTTCTCAAACAGTGCTCCTCCGTGTGTTATGGACCTCAGTTCCAGAAATCTCAGCCAGTTTACCAGCTGTTAGGAATTGTGGGAGTTAAAGTCCAAAACACCTGGAGGAGCAGAGTTTGAGAAGCACTGCTTGCTGTCAATGTCTACAACAGAGGCTCCTGTCCCAATGCCAGTGCTGTAGTAAGATCCTGCTATCTAGTTGACTTCGGTACTTGAAAGAAGCAGGGGACACAAGTTCAGACTCACAGAAAAAAATAGCTTGAATCAGCCTTAGTTGTTGGGTGGTTTCAAATGACTCATGGTGACTCCAAGGAAAACCTATTATAGGGTTTTCTATGGCTAAGAGTATGTGACTTGCCCAAAGTTGGTTTCCTGTGGGTTTCCATGGCTAAGGAGAGATTCAAATCCGGTTCTCCAGAGTTGTAGTCCAACTCTCAAATCACAACAACACACTGGTTTCTTGGATCTTCATAACTGTTCTGAGAAGCCAGAGAGCTTGATGATGGCATGTTTAGATCCAGGATTCTCTCATCCAAACACCACCCCACACTACTGTACATTATTCATAATCCACTACTGATTTGTTTTCAATATGCCACTTATTAACACCAGTGGGAGATGAGGGGACAATTTAGCATTGTGCATTTCTCAATTCTCACGTAAGGTAAAGGTTTTCCCCTGACATTAAGTCCAGTCGTGTCTGACTCTGGGGGGGGGGGCTCATCTCCATTTCTAAGCCGAAGAGCTGGCGTTGTCCATAGACACCTCCTAGGGCATGTGGCCGGCATGACTGCATGGAGTGCTGTTACTTCCCGCCAAAGCGGTGCCTATTGACCTACTCACATTTGCATGTTTTCAAACTGCTAGGTTGGCAGAAGCTGGGGCTGATAGCTGAAGCTCACACCACTCCCCGGATTCGAACCTGTGACCTTTCAGTCAACAAGTTTAGCAGCTCAGCTGTTTAACCCACTGTGCCACCGGGGGACCAGTGGGAGGTGAGGAGACAATTCAGCATTGTGTATTTCTCAAATCTCAATTTCCTATTTTGATTCAGAAATTCCCAGCCTAACACCCACAGTATCGATTTATTCTCTTTCCAGGATCTTCTATTTTTCCTCCTTTGAAGCCCCCAGGTTCCAAACGTTTTGAAGACTCAAAACCTCACAAAGATTTGAAACAGAAATGCCTCAAAATCCAAACCTAATATGAACCATTATGATTAATAATTTATTTGCATCTTTGGGGAAAACAGTGCTATCAAGTTCAGCATTACAAGCAGTAATGCTCTAAATCTAGCTTGGAGGGGGGGGGGGCAAGTACAGTAAACCCAGAGAATCAACCAAATTTTACATAAATGCTGACTTATTTAATAGCCGTTGATTCAATAAGGATCATATATACTCAAGTAAAAGTTGACCTTGTGTATCATTCAAAAGCAGATTTTGGATAAATCATGGGTCATTCCACAAAGAGGGGAAAACACTGTGGCTGCCACCACTATTACCCCATACATACAAAAAGGCCTAATGTGGTGTCATGGCCGGGAGAGTAGAAGCAAATTAGTACTTATTACAGGGCCCTTCCAGACAGGCCCTATATCCCAGGTTTTCTGCTTTAAACTGGATTATATGAGTCCGGACTACCTAATAATAATAATAATAATAATAATAATAATAATAATAATAATAGTTTATTTTTATACCCTGCCAACCATCTCCCCTAGGAAACTTGTGGCAGCTTAACAGAAAACCTGGGATCAGATCCTGGGATTTAGGGCCTGTCTGGAAGGGTCCTTAGTTCTTCCTGGGGCCCTTCCACCCAGCCTTATATCCCAGCATATCAAGGCTGGAAATCCAACAATATCTGTTTAGAACTTGAAATGTGGGATTTTCTGCCTTGATATTCTGGGATATAGGGCTGAGTGGAAGGGCCCCTGGTGTGGTTTAAGCTCTTGCCTTTGGTCACTTTACTCCGAGGAAGGGAATGGTTCCTTTTTTGATAAGAGTTAAGAAGCAGTTCTCACACTGACCCATGGATCAATTAACCCAGGTTTTTTGACTTGATTTTTGAGACCAGACTTTCTAGACTTAAGCTTTCCAAACATTTCAAGTTGGTGACACATCTCTCAGGCTGGATCTATACTGCCATATAATCCAGATTATCAAAGCAGATAGTCTACTCTATCTTCTTTGAACTTGATTATCTGTGTCTACACTGCCATACAATACAGTTCAAATAAGATAATCTAGATTTTATATGGTAGTGTAGATCCAGCCTTAGGCCTCTTCTACACTGTCATATACAATCCAGACTATCTGCTTTGAAATGGATTATATGGCAGTGTAGATTCAGATAATCCTGTTCAAAGCAAACAATGTAGATTTTATGGCAGTACTGAAGGGGCCTTAGACATGCATCATTTTGCAAGACGGTGATTCAGTTTCACTAGCAAACCAGAGGTTAAACCAACCGCTTGTCAAAAATATGGACACATACATACACTGTAACAAAAAAAAGTGCAGGGGAATACATCACATCACATACAAATCTTTCATTTATATATTTTAAGAGATATGATTTTGTCATATTAAGAGATATTGCTTTTGTCAGATAGACTCAGGCCCCTTCTAGACAGCTGTATAAAATCCACATTAGAATCCTAGAGTTGGAAGAGACCTCCTGGGCCATCCAGTCCAACCCCCTGCCAAGAAGTAAGAAAATCGCATTCAAAGCATCCCTGACAGATGGCCATTCAGCCTCTCTTTAAAGGCCTCCACAGAAGGAGCCTCCACCATACTGAACTGGATTATATGTCAGTGTGGACTCAGCTAAACCCAGTCCAAAGCAGACATTGTGGATTATCTGCCTTGATCTTCTGGGTGATATGGCTATGTGGATGGGCAACAAGTTTCATATGACAACACTGATTTCCCATCTGTATTGAGAGGAAAATACATTCTCCTTCCCACTCTCTCTGGGCCCTTCCACCCAGCCCTATCAAGGCAGAAAATCCCACAATATCTGCTTTGAAGTGGGTTATCTGAGTCCACACTCGGATAATGTGAGATTTCCTGACTTGATATTCTGGAATATAGGGCTGTGTGGAAGGTCCCTCAGACTTCCTACAAACCTATATGCTATAGAATCAGTTTAACCATCAAATTTAAGCCCCCAGAAGTTTCTCATGAAGTAACTGCGACACACCCAACACTCGAATGTGTGGCAACACACAGCTTGGAAAGCTCTGTTCTAGTCTCATACATGAATACATAGGTATATAGGAGCTGCTGCATTCAGACCAAGGCTTTAGCTGAGTTTCAAGAGTTCCAAGCATGGAAGGGGGAGAAATGCTAAAGGTGGGCGTTTGGGGAGGTTTCTTAGGGCCCTTCCACCCTGCATATCAGGGCAGAAAATCCCACAATATCTGCTTTGAACTGGGTTATCTGAGTCCACACTCAGATAATGCGGGATTTCCTGCCTTGATATTCTGGGATATAGGGTGGTGTGGAAGGGCCCTTAGATTGGAGCAAAATTCCCGTTGCATTTAACCAGGGGAAACTCCTCCAAGGGTCCCAAACTTTTGGATCAACTTTGGTATCCGAGAGGGGATGGGGGTGTGTTGGGTCTCACCGCACGGCTCCCCGCCCACCCAGCGCCCTGCGTGGTCTTACCTGCCTCGGGGAGAAGACGCCGGGCTCTGGCCCCAACCCACGGGCGCAGGGGGAGGGGACCCTCTCGCTCTCGCAGCCTGGCTCCCTCCCTCCACCTGGCGCCTCCTTCCCCGATCCCGAGCCGAAAGTGGAGCCGCGGGAAGGGAGGGAGGGAAGGAGGGAGGGAGGGAAGGAGGGAGGGAAGGAGGTGCCACGGCGGAGCAGGAGGGAGGGAGGGGAAGGCGCGCGCCCGGGCAGGGGCTTCCTTCCTTCCTCCTTTCCTTCCTTCCTCGCCTCGCGCCGGATCCCGGGAGCTACGTGCCTGACATCACGGTGACATCAGCCCCATCCCAGGCTCTCCTCTCAGGGCCTCTGGGCCACCAGGTCGCCAGCGCTTCTTGCCTCTGGCTTCCTTCCCCCCCCCCCCCCTTGTCCTCCAGGTATAGACAGCCAGCATCATTCCCAGGGATACCGGAGCCACACACCTTCCTCTTTCTACACTAAGGGTGTGTCTGTCTGTAGAATGCATGCAAGCCGACTTCCCTTGAACTGCCATGGATCACTCCTATTGAACCCTGGGAGCTTGACAAGGTCTTCAGCCTTCTCTGCCAAAGACTGCTGCTGCCTCACCACACTGAAGACAGACAGGTCACCTGCAGGTTCGAATCCGGGGAGAGCGCGGATGAGCTCCCCCGTCAGCTCCAGCTCCCCATGCGGGGATGTGAGAGAAGCCTCCCACAAGGATGGTAAAATATCAAAACATCCGGGCGTCCCTTGGGCAACGTCATTGTAGACGGCCAATTCTCTCACACCAGAAGCGACTTGCAGTTTCCCAAATTGCTCCTGACACCAGAAATTTTCGGGGGGGGGGGGGGGTGTTGAAACCTGCCTCCTAGCTCACGCTGAAGCAAAGAGCACAGCAGGGGGCAGAGCAGCCTTCAATAGCCTGCAGCTCCGCCCCTGTCAACCACCTCCACCAAGTCTGGCCTCCTTAATGAGAGCATTCAACACTCCCCCCCCCCAACTTGGTTGCTTCACTACATCGGCTATTGCTGCAAGTAATGACAGTGTGAATAAATTGTCAATATTTGCTTGAGATAGTGCTTGCAGTTCTGGAGAGACTCTTAATTTTTTGCATCTCATAGACTTAGCATGGGGATTTGGTTAACCAGTTAAAATTCATGAGTAAACCAGTTTTTTTAAAAAAAATCTGAAACATTTCGGGGGGGGTTGAACCCCTAAACCCCCCCCCCCCTCACTACAGGTCTGATATAAAGCAATTAGCATTAAAGTGAAGTCAAGCTGCATTTATTCTACAAGATATACCAGGCAGGCCTGTAGCAGGGGGTGTTAGGGGTTCACCCCCCCCCCCAAAATTTTTCAGGTTAAAAAAACTGGTTTACTCATGAATTTTAACTGGTTAACCAAATCCCCATGCTAAGTCTATGAGACGCAAAAAAGTCCCTCCAGAACTGCAAGCACTATCTCAAGCAAATATTGACAATTTATTCACACTGTCATTACTTGCAGCAATAGCCAATGTAGCGAAGCAACCAAGTTGTGCGTGTGTGTGTTGAATGCTCTCATTAAGGAGGCCAGACTTGGTGGAGGTGGTTGACAGGGGCGGAGCTGCAGGCTATGGAAGGCTGCTCTGCCCCCTGCTGTGCTCTTTGCTTCAGTGTGAGCTAGGAGGCAGGTTTTAACCCCCTTGCGAAATTTTCAACCCCCCCCCCGAAATGTTCAACCCCTCCCAAAATGTTTTTCTGGTTATGGCCCTGATACCAGGCATGGACAAATCGATATGATGACAAGATAACCGGGCCTCTATACCGAGAGGCTGCAGAACACACTGCCTTCAGAGCATTACTCTTGCCATTAAGAGGAAAAGAGATTTAAAGGTGGGATTAAAAACTGTGGCATAGATACTGAGAACTGGGAAGCCCTGGCCCTTGAGCACTCTAACTGGAGGTCAGCTGTGACCAGCAGTGCTGTGGAATTTAAGAGGCATAAATGAAAAGAGAAAGGAAGAAACGTGCCAAGAGGAAGGCACATCAAGCCAAGCCTGACTGGGACTGCCTTCCACCTGGAAATCAATGTCCTCATTGCAGGAGAGCATGCGGATCAAGAATAGGGCTCCACAGCCACCTGCGGACCCACCACCAAGACACCAGACTTGGAGAACCGTCATCCTCAAGCTAGGGATCGCTTAAGTAAGTACTCCTGACACAGCTGCCTTGTTGAAAGACTATTACAGGCTCTACAGCAAATACTGATTTAGTGAGCAGATTCTTCAGGCAGCGCAGAGCATTTTGTCCTCCATCTCTGAAGCCAAGAAGGAACAAAGATAAAGCTGATAGCAGAAGTCGACATGGGCAGGAGTGGCCAGAAGGCTAAGACTGCTGAGCAGTGATCTCTCATGTCAACATAAAGACAGATCAGATAGTGCACCAACTTCTGAAGAATGGGAAACCCAACCTTGCCACCAAATTGGGGAGGAAACCAATATTTGGACAACCAGATGATGAGAACAACAACCTTCATCTACTGAATTGGACATGGCTCTCAACAAATGGGTGAACTTGGGCCCTCCAGGTGTTTTGGACTCCCACCATTCTTAACAACCTCAGGCCCATTCCTTTTCCTCTTCAGCCACTTAAGTGGGAAAGGGAAAAGGAATGGGCCTGAGGTTGTTAGGAATGGTGGGAGCTGAAGTCCAAAACACTTGGACGGCACAAGTTTGCCTATGCCTGGTATATATGTATCTAAACCCTCTGGTTTTTTACACTCCTCACTCTACTCCCCCCTGCTTTCATCTAGTAATTAAATCCCATTTTACCAAATGTTATTCCTTAATCAAGTTTTATTCTGTTTTAATTTATTTTAGTTAACTATTACAGGAGTTTTAACATAGTATTTCGTGTCTATTTGTCTGTATTTTAGTTTTTGTTTTTTACTGTTGCTATGGTCAGTGGACTAATCAATGAACAGATGGATCTTATCTGTCAACAGTATATAGATTCCCCTGGAATAGACCTTGTGCTAAGTACCATGTGGGGATATGGTAAAAGGGATTTCATGTATATATCACTCCCACATCCCTGGATACACTGTAAAAATGATTCCATTTTGACCTCACTTTAACAGCCCCAGCTTAGTACTATGGCATCCTAGAAGCTGTCGCTTTACACTGTCTTTAGCCTTCTTCAGTCGTGAATGCTGGTGCCTCCCCCCCCCCCTCCCAATACACATATACAAACATATACAGCTTCCATGGTTCCAGAGTCATGGCAATGAAAGTGGAGTCAAACTGCTTTCACTCTGCACCTTGAAATGGGCCATATTGCTTAATATTCTAAGAACCRTGCGGGGATATGGTGAAGGGATTTCAGATGAGGATACTGCATACACACACATACACATACATCCCTGGGTATATCTGCTCTGAAGAAATGATTCCAGTTTGACACCACTTTAACTGTCCTGGCTCGGTGCCTCTTTAGAGTTTACAAGATCTTTATAGATTTCTGTGCCAAAGAGTACTGATGCCCCACCAAACTAGAACTCCCAGGAGTTTCATAGCATTGAGCCAGGACAGTTAAAGTGGAGTCACACTGCATTCATCCTGCATTGCATTCACAGATTCAACCAATCACAGCAGACTTTATTTTAGCCGTTTTATATGCAAGATATTCTTTTACTATATCCTTAAGTAAATCAATGAAATGGAACCCAACTATAGAGATATAATCTATATCTCAAAGTATAATCTAATCCCAAAGCGTATCTTCTTGGTTCCTTACCACCACATGAGATCTTACCAAATTGGGAATTTTTCTCTTTGGAAAAAGTTTACCCCGAAATGCATTCTTTTATGCTATCTTACATTAAATTGTGTTTGCTATTTTAATGTCCCTTCCCCAAATTAGGAGATAACCTTTTGGAACTCCTTGCAATAAATTGTTGTTGTGTGCCTTTCAAGTAATTTCTGACTCATGGCAACCCTCAGGTGAACCTTATCTTGGCAAGTCTCCTTAAATAATGTGGTGGTTTCAGCAACTGTGGAGAGCTGTTTATACTCCTAGCTCCAAGGCAATTCCAAAAAAAGTTAAAATTTAAATAGTATCAATACAGATCTTTGAGGGATGCTACTGTCACACACTCTTAGGCCCAGAAAACTTCAATAGAGTCACCATAAGCCAGAAATGACTGAAGGCATACAACATCATTGCATTGTATGGTTAGCCTAGCTAGTTATTCCTACTTTTCTGTTCTTTAATCAGTTACCAATCAATTGAAGGACTTCCTCCTCTTATCTTGTGACTAAGAGTATTTAGTTATCTTCAGTCTCCTCATTTATATGCTTGTTGACATTCTCAAAAACTCTTAAGAAGTTAATGCAATAGGATTTACCTTGGCAGAAGCCATGCCAATTCCTTTTCAGCAGGGCTCTCCCTTCTCTAGACTGGATATTTTCTCTTTAACAATGCTTTCCAGGACAGGGTACCCAGGGCACTTCTTGACAAGCCCTATATCCCAGGATCTGATCCCAGGTTTTCTGTTTATCCCAGATTATCTGGCAGTGTGGACTCATATAATCCAGTTTAAAGCAGAAAACCTGGGATCTAGGGTCTGTCTGGAAGGGCCTCCAGCCTGCAATATGTGGGCCCCCCTTAGATACTTTTTCAAAAACTTGATGTTACATTGTGTACTCTTCAGTCTTCTGGTATAGAAATTAAACATGCAGACATGCTTTTTATGTTCAAACGGATTTTTTTTTTAGAATTTTTAAAAAAATGTCTCTGAGTTCCTTGAGAAATCAAAGATAAATATCATCTGGATCTGGTGATTTGTTTGTTTTAATACGAAAGTCATAGAACTGTAGCTGTATCCATCATGATGTACTTGCCTCCAATTTACCTTTTTAGAAAGATCAGTTCAGACAAAGGGATTTCCTTCAGTTAAAATTGATGGAAATAGTTCACGTCTTCTTCTACACTCCTTTAGTATTCTTTACCTCCACTGTAATTCACTATCATTATCTTCTGAAAAACTATTTCCTAGCGGAATGTTTCTCCTCAATTGGCTTTAATGTTTCTTCAAGTATCATCTCCCTTTAGAGAGAAAACCACTGAATAGCAGAAGAGGAAACTCTTTAGGCATCTTCATTATCCCC